ATATATATATATATATATATTTGTTAAATGAGTGAGTAAATGTCTTATAGAGATGTGTGACAAATTAAATGAAATAATGCTTGTATTGTGCCTGGCCCGCAATAAGTGCTCAATAAATACACTTACTATTTTCCCTACAGGGTTACACTCAGGTTGGCAGTTCAAATTCATCACAGGCATCTAGGAAGAAAGGCTTGGTGATCTACTTCCCAAAGGTTACAGCTACTGAAAACCTATGGAGTACAGTGCTATTCTGATACACATGAAGTCACCGTAAGGTTTTTCAATTTGTTTGTTTTTTTTTACTCGACGGCACATAACAACAACAACTACTACTACTATGTCACAGTTTGTATTTACGTAGAATGAGTTCCTTGAGGGGTGTCTGACTGGATTCCGAGATCCTCACGATGGATCAGGACTCAAAGCGACCCCTCCTTGGGTTTCCGAGGCAGTTATCACTATAGAAGTAGATTGCCAATCTTCCTTCCAAGGAGTGGCTGGTGGGTTTGAAGCCTTTTGGTTAGCAGTCAAATGCCTTAGGTACTACGTCACCAGAACGCCCAATAACTATATTAGGTGACTAGAATTAATATTGTTGTTGTTATGTGCCGTGGAGTCGACCCGACTCATAACGACCCCTCCTTGGGTTTCCAAGGCACTATCACTACGGAAGTAGATTGCCCCATCTTCCTTCAGAGGTGTGGCTGGTGGGTTTGAACCGCCAGCCTTCTGATTAGCAGTCAAGTGCCTTAGGCACTACGCTACCAGAGGTCCTAGAATGAATATGGAGGACTACAATTTATTACACGCTCGCGGCGGGGTAATTGCTGGAAGATTAATATCCTGGATGAACCTGTCTCCTTCGTGGCGACCACAAGTCCCATCATGCTACAGGAATACCGGTTGGTTCACAAACCGAATCTGACATCATAGGACTCCCCCACCCTGAGCCTCCACAGGCCACAGTAGCCGCGGCCCCGCCCCGCCCCAGTCTTCATACCCCTTATGACTACTGACCTGGCGGGCATCAAGGGAAGAACACATGCGCACTGTTCTCTCTTCGTCTTTCCCTTCGTTTATTAGTCCTTCTCATTTTAAGGGCTGGGTCCTTTTTGTTCCCTATTGCTTACGGTAGCAGTTTCCGTGCGGAAGTGGTAGCTCTGAGAGAAGAAGATGGCGGCCACTGTGGCCGCACCGGGTAGTGTGGCGGCGACAAGTCGGGTCAACAAGTGGGGTGGCGGCGGGCCGGGAGGCGGCAGTGGCGGTGGTGGAGGAGCCAGAGCGGCAGAGGAAGAACCGCCGCCGCCTCTGCAAGCAGTTCTGGTGGCCGATAGCTTCAACCGCCGCTTCTTCCCCATCTCCAAAGACCAGCCTCGGGTGAGCGCTGCGCACGAAAGGAACTAAAGGGTCCGAAGGTGCCGGGGCTGGAGCAGTTATTCTTTTGGCTGTCTAGTTAGGCGTGCTCTGGAAGGACCACAGTCCTTCCCTGAGATGTGATATATCTGGTTAAGAAGAAGGCGGACGCATTGTCTAAATCGCTAATAGCTGCCTGACCAAGTGAGTGGCTGGCAGATTTGGGCAATGCTGTCCACCTCAGGTTTGGAAGGATTAAAGAGAGCTGAATGTAGAAGCAGTGCTTAAGAATAGCCTTCACGCAGGGATTCAGTGGCCCGAGAGGAGGCTGCGCTGCGTTCTTTAATTTTGCAGAGGAAAGAAGAATGCTTATGTGGAAGGGAACACCACCTCTTTTTGCCTCCGGATGGTTGTCATGTGCCTACAAAAGGGCAGTCTGATCTGATCCCGAAGTAACAGCTGTTTTGGATCTTGTGTAATGTGTTGGGTTTTGGGGGTTTTTTGGTTTGGTTTGGTTTGTTTTTTTGCCTTCCCGGTTTTAATGACAGGCAGTGCCATCTGTTGAAAGGACAGAAAGGGTTTAGTGGCTGATTGCCAGCAACCCCTATATTGTCTAGACAGTGAGGAATTGGATTGAGCTAGTCCTGGAGATTGCTAGATCACTCAGCAGTTCTCAGTTCAGTAAGAAGAGAGAGCTGCATTGGATTTAGAAAAAATCCTTTCTAAACGCCTTCCCCACCAACAAAAGGCCTTATGACTGTTCATTTTTGGTAAGTGATTGGAGGTACCTAACCCCTGACTCTTATAAGGGGGTCCAGGAAATAAATTTTATGGGAAAGAAGGCCTTAGGAGTGCTTAAGTTTCTGGAAATATGATTGTTTTTCAGTATTATGCTTTGCCAGGGGTGGTCTCCTTTTCTATAGCAGCTCTGTGTCCAGTGCTAAGCAAGTAAAGTGGATTCCATGCTTGCTGTGTCCAAATTACAATGCTAAGAACATGCTGTGAACATCTAAGATACCTGATTACCTTTGAATTAGAAAAAAAAAGCAAAACTATAGTGTTTGGAAATGTTAATTAAAAAAAAAAAAAACCCACTGCCATCAAGTCAATTCTGATTCATATCCACTCTATAGGATAGGGTAGAGCTGCCCCCATAAAGTTTCCATGGCTGCAAATCTTTACAGAAGCACACTGCCACTCCTTTCTCCCGTGGAGTGTCTTGTGGGTTTGAAATACCAACCCTTTGGTTAGCCGAATGCTTTAACCACTGCGCCACCTTTAGAAATAATGATACAAAACACACTGCTGTTGAGTTGGATCTGACTCATAGTGACCCCTCCTTGGGTTTCCAAGGCGTTATCACTACAGAAATAGATTGCCCAACCTTCTTTCCAAGGAGTGGCTGGTGGGTTTGAACCAGCCTTCTTCTGGTTAGCAGTCAAATGCCTTAGGTAGGCACTACGCCACCAGAGCTCCCCCAGAAATAATGATAGAAGAGTGAAAAGTGTGCTTGCAGTGACAGGTAAGATACTCAAGAGCCTGTCACAGGTTCAAGACCTCAATTTTTTTTTGTCTTCCATTCTTTAGGTCCTCTTGCCCCTGGCCAACGTGGCACTAATTGACTATACTCTGGAATTCCTCACTGCCACAGGTGTACAAGAAACTTTTGTCTTTTGTTGCTGGAAGGCAGCTCAAATCAAGGAACATTTACTGTAAGACCTTGTAACTTTTCTTTCTGTGTTTCACCATCTTTTTTATTTTTCTTACAATGGATGTAACTAAGGGGAAGTTGTGAGGATAAAAGTGTTTAGATCCCATTGGAAGGTCTAAGGAGTTGGTTTTCTTTTTCCCCTTATCAGGAGCTGAGCACCTAAAGCCTTTTTTTTATCAGTCCATCTTAGGCTTCCAGTGAGGAATGTTCAAAAACAAAACCTGGGTTTTTTCTGACTCTCACAAAATTTGGTCTCACTGGGTTTTGCCTTTTTATTTAAAGGCTCCAATGTGGAAGTTACAAACATAACATCTTTGTTTTTCCACTGAGCTTCTAAATAGTGTCTGATCTGCTCCTTGAGGACAAGAATGCGCTCTTCACTATATTCCCGGTACCTAGCTTAGTGCCAAGCAAAGAAGTAAGCACTTAATAGATGGTTGGTGAGTTCTTCTTAAAAAAGAGTGCATCTCAGAATAACAAATGCTGGCGAGGATATAGAGATACTGGGACTCTCATACACTACTGGTGGGACTATAAAATGATATAACCACTATGGAAAGCAGTATGGCAATTTCTTAAAAAGTTGGAATTAGAAATACCACTTGACCAAGCCATTTCAGTACTAGGTATATATCCTAAAGAAGTTAAGAGCCAGGACAAGAACAGATATATGTACACCCATGTTCATCACAGCACTATTTACAATAGCCAAAAGATGGAAACAAGGTGCCTATCAACTGAAGAATAGATAACCAAACTATGATATATATACACACAGTAGAATACTATGCAGCCCTAAAGAATAACATAGAATCTGCAAAACACCGCATAATGTGGATGATCTTGGAGGACATTATGCTGAAAGAAACAAGTCAATCACAGAGGGCATATATTGTATTAGTCCGTTTTTGTTAAAAGTCAAGGAAAGGTTTCTATATGGAAGGAAATTTTCTTTGTTGGTTACCAGGGGTGGAAGGGGAGGGGAGGGAACACTGCTAGGTAGGTAGAGACAAGTACTGATTTGGGTGAACCGAAGGGCAATGTGGGAAGAAAAGAAGTGAATATCAGGATTTGCAAAAGTTTGGTAAATAAAGGCTAGGATATTAGCATGCTCTCCACCAGACAGTTGATAAATTTGGTGTAGACTTTGGAAGGGGAAATGTGATGTGAAAACTGTGTTCCCAGGATATTTTGTATGCCCCAGGTCTCAGTAGGATTGTAAGTTCAAGTCCATGTTTAGGAACAAGGGTCAGCATATGGAAAGGAATTGACCATGTCTCTCTAACCCATAAAACATGACTGGTGACAAAGGGAGCTGAAAGCATTAATTAAGTTTTTAAATCTCTTTGAAGTTGAGGACGCTGGCAGGAGCCCAAAAAAAGCCATAGAGAAGAATGTGACTGCTGAATGGGGGATAAAAACAGAGAAGGTCCACGTGATCTTTATGCTTGACTTACTCATTCCCCTAACCCTCTTCAGGAAGTCCAAGTGGTGCCGACCTACATCCCTCAATGTGGTTCGGATAATTACATCAGAACTATATCGATCACTGGGAGATGTTCTTCGTGATGTTGATGCCAAGGCCTTGGTGTGCTCGGACTTTCTTCTGGTGTATGGGGATGTCGTCTCAAACATCAATATTACAAGAGCCCTGGAGGAACACAGGTCAGGATGGGAAAATGGTAGGGTCTAGGGACCAGCAGAGCCCTTAAACTGCTTTTTCAGAACTCTGCTTTCTAACTTTTATAGGTTGAGGCGAAAGCTAGATAAAAATGTTTCTGTGATGACAATGATCTTCAAGGAATCATCCCCCAGCCACCCAACTCGTTGCCATGAGGACAGTGTGGTAGTGGCTGCAGATAGTGCCACAAACCGGATTCTCCATTTCCAGAAGACCCAAGGCCTCCGGCGTTTTTCTTTTCCCCTGGTGTGTGGATATCTGGGGTCCTTGGGTGGGAGAATGGCAGGCTTCAGCAGAAGAGACTGATTAAAGTCCTTGTAACTTCTCCCCACAGACCTTATTTCAGGGCAGTGGAGATGGGGTGGAGATTCGCTATGATTTACTGGATTGTCATATCAGCATCTGCTCTCCTCAGGTGAGCTTTTCACGTGTGGGACCGCATATCCCGAGTGGAGCTCTGAGAGAGTGTTAATGCTCCCTTAGAAGACCAGGATGTATTTCTTCTCCCTCTTTTTCTTATCTGTTCTAAAACAAACAGGTTATCTATTGTCATCTTGTCCCCACATATCCCATTGGAAGCCTCTTTGGGATTCTATCCATGTCCAGCTGTCATAGGGTCTGATAAGTTTTTTGGGGGCTTCTCTTTGCTTCCAGACACTACGCTTAACCTTAGTGCTGCCCCATTTACCTCTACAGGTGGCTCAACTCTTTACAGACAACTTTGACTACCAGACTCGAGATGACTTTGTGCGAGGCCTATTAGTGAATGAGGAGGTAAGAAAAGGCTCCAAATGCCTCTTCAGGAGAGTAGGAGAGGGGTATAACTTTGTCTCATGCTAGTAATTTTTTGTCCCCTTTTATGTTTATTGAGCCTTAGTAAGGAGGAAAGAACTGGTGGGGGAAACAGTACACAAAGAAAAGTCTCTGGCCATTGGCTGTAACGTTAGAGGCAAAGGGAACTTAAAAGGGTTAGAAAGATGTTGTACCTGGGATGTTCTTTCTGTCTTGCTTGCTTGGGCAACCTCCTTTTCTTTCTCCTCGCCTAGATCCTAGGGAACCAGATCCATATGTACGTAACAAGCAGGGAATATGGTGCCCGGGTCTCCAACCTACACATGTATGCGGCAGTCTGTGCTGATGTCATCCGCCGATGGGTCTACCCTCTCACCCCAGAAGTGAATTTCACTGATAGCATCACACAGAGCTGCATTCATTCTCGGCACAACATCTACCGAGGGTCTGAGGTCAGCCTGGGCCATGGCAGCATCCTGGAGGAAAACGTGCTCCTGGGCTCTGGCACTGTCATTGGCAGCAATTGCTCCATCACCAACAGTGTCATTGGCCCTGGCTGCCACATTGGTGAGCACAGGTTGAGAGGTCAAGATGGCCATCCTAGGAGCAAGAACCTAAGGGTCCCTGTGTCTCCAGAAACAAAGATGTACAAGGAATATTCCCCAGGAATAAGGAACTAGAGTGACTGTTTTAAGAAAGGAGAGAACCAGGATTTGAAAACAGTGATCCCCTAATTTGTGGCCTGTGACTCTGTTATTGGGTGATATCACATGCCAGGGCACCCTACATTCACATTTAGGGCCAAATATATAATTAACACATAGTAACAACATGTATTTAGTGCATTATAGTTTACAAAGGGCTTTTCCTTACATTATTTCATTTACTCCTCACAGAAACCTGTGAGACAGCTGTTACATATCCCCAGTTTACCAATAAGCAAGCAGGCTCAAAGAGGTTGTCTTGCCCAGGGTCAACAGTTAATAAGAGACAGTGCTGGGATTTTAATCTGAGTATTCTGATTACAAATCCAGTGTTCTTTGCATGTTCCTATAGCTGGGATAGTAACTCACTTTGCTTGTAGGAATGTGATACTTCTGATGGTATTGCCCTTTTAAAAGAGCAACAATAAGATTCTGATTCTAAAATGTATGAGAAGTAGAGTAATTTGCTTCTACTTATAGACATGGTCCATATGAGTCTAATAAGGTTCTTAGTTTGAGGTCCCCAGCAATCTATTCTTAGGCCTGGGCTTAGAGGGTTAGAGGATTTCTTGGATAAATTAGGGATGGGGTACTTGAGTGAGGTAGGAGTTGGTGTCATTCAGTCCAGTCCCGTGAGGGCCTCTGGTCTGAAGTTGGGGCCCTGAGTGACCAGGAGTCCTTTGCATCCTGAGCCAGGTGATAACGTGGTACTGGATCAGGCCTACCTGTGGCGGGGTGTCCGAGTGGCTGCTGGAGCACAGATCCATCAGTCTCTGCTGTGTGACAATGCTGAGGTCAAGGAACGAGTGACATTGAAGCCACACTGTGTCCTCACTTCCCAGGTGAGCCCTTCTCCATATTGCATGTAGGCTCTGAATTGAGTAATGATTGTGCTAAGCCAGAGGGGACCTTGTTTTTATCCATAATCCAGCCTAAATTGAATGTCCAAATCTAGTGGTTTCATTTGCTGCCTTCTTGGCTTAGTTTAAAAAAAAAAAAAAAAGTTGCTCTCATTGTCAGCATGTACTTTACCCCAACAAACTAATGGGTCTTGTCGCCCTCTCCTTTTTCCTTTCCTAGGTGGTGGTAGGCCCAGACATCATCCTACCTGAGGGCTCAGTGATCTCTTTGCACCCTCCAGACGCAGAGGAAGATGAGGATGATGGCCAGTTCAGTGATGATTCTGGAGCCGACCAAGAAAGAGAGAAAGTGAAGCTGAAAGGTGTGATGCTTAACAGGTGTGGGGCATCTGTATGTCTCTTTGCCCCATAGAAAACTACTGTTTCCTCCTGGAGAGGTTGGTGTTTCCATTGGTCTTCCCTAAAGATCAGTGCCTTTTTTAGGTTACAATCCAGCAGAAGTAGGAGTTGCAGGCCAGGGCTACCTCTGGAAAGCTGCAGATATGAACATGGAGGAAGAGGAGGAACTACGACAAGATCTGTGGGGTGAGCTATCCCCCTTCAACTGAATCTGAATATTTTGAAGGATAACGGATACGTCAGAATAAGATTACTTGTTCAGTCCTTTATGAAAACAGCAGATACATTGCTCTCTGTCAATGGCTCCTTCCTTATTTTTCTTTTTCTCACCCTTTCTGGGTTCTCAGGACTTAAAATCAGCATGGAAGAAGAGAGTGAAACTGAAAGTGAGCATAGTATGGATTCTGAGGAGCTGGACAGCCGGGCAGGCTCCCCACAAATGGATGATATCAAGGGTGAGTGACCAGGGGAGCAGTGTCCTAGGACAAAGGAGGAAATCCTCAAGTTTATTCTTGGCTGAGATCAACTAGCCAAAGACTTGTGTTTCTCCCAGAAAGAGATTGCTGTGAAGTTAGGGCTAGGTAATTCAAAGCATACTGGAGTGGTCTTGGGCCATGAACTTATTCTTGCTTTGGTTCCAGTGTTCCAGAATGAAGTCCTGGGAACACTACAGCGTGGAAAAGAGGAGAACATTTCTTGTGACAATTTAGTCCTGGAAATCAACTCTCTCAAGTAAGAGCAGCCATTCTTTGTTTTCTTCTCCTCAAGGTAACCCCAGCCACGGAAAGGTTCTTCCCAAGTTTCTTCCCAAGTAGGAACCTGTTTGCTCCATATCCCAGATGGATGAAGCCTATAGAATTTAGAGCGAGAAGGGGATTAGGTTCTAGCCTCAGCATGGACTCTCCCCCTCCAGAACCATCTTGTTCCATCTGATTTCTCTCCTCCAGTATCCTGCCAAAGTCATAGTCCTATAACATGCTGAAAGGCCCAATGAGGGCCCTGGTGCCACCCCAGTCTCCCCACAGGTACGCCTACAACATAAGCCTAAAGGAAGTGATGCAGGTGCTGAGCCACGTGGTCCTGGAGTTCCCCTTGCAGCAAATGGACTCCCCACTTGACCCAAACCACTACTGTGCCCTGCTACTTCCAGTGAGCAAAGATGGATTGGGTACAAGGGGTTGGTTGGGGGTAGAGACATATCCTTGGCTGTGCTGACTTTAAAAGGAAATAGGAGTAGAAGGTCATATTGTGGAGTATATGTTACTTCTGGTTACTTTCTTGCTACCTCTGGAAGCTGATAAGTTCCTAGAGCAACCGGGTCTAAGGGAGTCAGGTTGGGTTCAATACTAAGTGACTTTTGAGATGCCAGAGTTCAAACCATACTAGACCCCCCAAAAGTATACCCAGAATAGACCTGTACTTTCAGAATCTCTGATTGAAAATAATTTGGCCCAGAATGAGATCAATCTTTAGGCTGGGAATAGGTATTTTAAGGCAGCAAACAGCATCTGACCCCCTTTCCCTTCCTCACATCGTGTCTTCCTCCCCAGCCCTGGTTGCCAGCAGCTAAGTCCCTCTGACTTGATTCCACAGGGCCTATATCATCTCCCTCTTACATTCCCATGTCTGTAAAAGAGTCATCATCAATAGTGATTTTCTCTGTTGTCCAGGGGTAGGTGCATGCTCAGGAATATATTGCAGTTTCTTTTTCTTTTCTTCCATAGCTGCTCAAAACCTGGAGCCCTGTATTTCGGAACTACATAAAGCGTGCAACTGACCATTTGGAAGCCTTGGCAGCAATTGAGGACTTCTTCCTGGAGCATGAAGTTCTTGGTACTTCCGTGGCCAAGGTGAATACCACCTCAAACCCCATAGTCCTATTTTGCCTTGAAACGGGCTTTGGTAGCTCCCGTGGAGACACAAAATAGGCTAACGTGAACCCAGTATGGAGTTTGGTCAATAGCACTATATATCCCTGGTATCAGCATTATTGCTGGGAAGTGCAGCTTAGAGCTGGGCTAGTAAAATAGCCATTTGGAGATTGGCCTGGGAGTGCAGAGCAATACCCAGCAGTAGTTCCAGAAGTTATGCCTGGCTCTGGTACCAGAGTGAACAGCCTACTCTTGTCTGTTTTGAAAGAGGCTACTCGGTATGGAAGGAAGCTGAGGGCCTGGTAGAGAGGTGTTAAGGTCTTGCTGCTGCTTCTGTTGTCCATTGTATCTAGCTGGGGTTTACGAGGCCTTTGAGATCCCCTTTGCTGACCTTCTGCAGGTGCTCATGGCTTTCTACCAGCTGGAAATCCTGGCTGAGGAAACCATCTTGAGCTGGTTCAACCAAAGGGATACAACTGATAAAGGCCGGCAATTACGCAAGAATCAACAGGTGAATCGAGCTGCCCTCCTCTCCTTCTCTGGTTCCTTGGCTCTTGATACCCTCCCTAGATTCCAGGGTGGTTGGTCCTAGGATTGTGTGGTGGTTACAGCTGTTACTTCACAAAGGTGAACAGGAGGGTTAGATGCCCCTCCAATAGTAGCTTGCTACCCTGTTTCCTTACAGCTGCAGCGGTTCATCCAGTGGCTCCAGGAGGCAGAAGAGGAGTCATCTGAAGATGACTGAAGTCATACTGGCACTCCTGGCTCCTGGGCCAGGTCAAGTGAGGAGCTATTTACAGGATGGATGACTACCATCTGGGCTAAGACTTGAAAGAGCAGAGGCTGCAACTACAGTATTCTTCCCCCTGCCAGCAACCATGTGCCTCTCATCCTGAATGGGGAGTTGGGATGAGGGAAGATGGGCTGGAATAAAGCTTCTGCCTGGGGAGAACTAGACAAGCCCTGCAGTTGGAGGAGGGCCAGAGGGACCACTTTGTGCTCTGGCTTTCCCTTAGGGAACAGCAGAGAGCAGCTGGCCTCTGCTGTGTGTATTTGTTAATAATTAAAAGAGAGAGAATGATGTATTTGTTTTCTCTCCAACTCTGACTGATCAGCTGTTGAAGTATTTGGCCAAAGAGTGCGGAACCCCTGGTATGGCAACCTCTTCCTAACACCTGGGGGAGAGAGAACATTGGTTTTCTGGCCACTAGGTGGTACTGTGGTGCCTTGCTAATCAACCATTCCTGTGGAATCCACTCAGCAACGGGTTTGGTTTGGTTTTTGGTAAGACTTATGGGTAGTAGAGGACCTAGATTATTTTCCAGTGTCTGTGGATCAGTTCGTGGTCCTGAAGTGGTATAACTGAGCCTATTTCCTAGAGCCCCAGTCCAAGCACTTTGTAGCTGGTTTTAGTACTTGGTACTGAGAGTGATGATGAAACATGTAAAGCCCATTACAGCTTGCCAGTCCCTCTTACATGCCTTCTCCAACTGTTCTAGGACTAGTCCTGTCAGGGAAGTTGGATCACTCTCCATGTTAAAGATAAAGAAATTTTCTCAAGGTTGCATTACTCTTCAGGGGTAAAGTAAGGATGTGAATGTTATAATCCAGGATTCGTTCTGCTTCAGCATTATCAGTGTCTCAGTGAGGGGAAAATTGCCCCCAGAGGCAAATATAACCCCTAGCCAGCAATGGCTCTCTTGAGAATACAGGAAGGCCCTGTGAAGTGGGCTGTCCCCTAATACTGCACTGTGTGACATGCACTTTGGTAAGTAGTTGTCATGCATTATTTAACCCTCATAGCAGCCCTATGAAGTATGTCTATCCTGAATTCAGTTGAGGAGCCTGAAGCTCAGGTTAAGTCACTAATCTGAGGTCTTAGAACTAGTAATTAGTAGAGCCAGGATTTGTTGCTAGACTCTGGAGCTGGGGTTTTACTCCCTTTGCTGTATCATCTTTAACCTCAACCATGAGACACACCCTTTACCTCATCTTTTTGACCTCTTTGCTGCCTTTATAGAACCCTTACTCTGTTGACACTTAAGCTGTGGCAAATATCACTGTCATAATGACTCTCCCAAGCATCACAGATAAAATGGTTGCCTTTCTTCATTTTAGTTGGGTGGAAAAGAGAGGAGAAAGAGGATAGCAAACTCTACTTGGGGGTGAGAAGGTATTGAATATTTCTAAAGGATAAAACAGACGGTCCAGGGTCTGGCTTAATTTGCTTTTCTTGTTCAGTAAATCGTCGTTTCTGCTTTGTCAGATACAAGACCTAGTGCCTAGAGAGCATGTGAAGAGTGTTAGGGCATGGACCTAATGTTGTTGTTGGTTGTTGTTATTTGCCGTCGAGTCGGCCCCGACTCATAGCAACCCCTCCTTGGGTTTCCAAGGCAGTATCACTACGGAAGTAGGATTGCCCAACCTTCCTTCCGAGGAGTGGCTGGTGGGTTTGAACCGCCAGCCTTCTGGTTAGCAGTGCTAACTTAGGCACTATGCTACCAGAGCTCCCAATGGACCTAATAGGGGCAATTAAATACAATAACCATAAGGCATCCCTGATCCATGCCAAGTGAGTGGCAGAGACTAGAATGGACCTACAGGACTTTTTAGGAGGGAGAGATTCCCTCCAGTTAGGGTGGTGGGAGGTTTTATAGGATTATGATGCTTGAATGGCCTAAAACATGGAAAAGGACAGAGGAGAGCAAAACAAAGGATTTCAGGTTAAATACGGGATTAAGCACAGGCTGTTTTGCTCCTTCCAAAAACTCCATTAAGATTTCAGTAAGGAAGTTTTTTAGAGGTATGTGACTCGATGAGGAAAACAGGAGGTGACAACAATGAGTGAGAGATGCCGACACTTTGGAAAATGAAAAATAGATTTCAGAGTGGAAATTGACTTAGCAGAGCAGAGTAAGTTGGGCTATACCTGCAGATGTGGTTAGAAGCAAGCAAGCCCGTGTGCCCTTCTGAAACCAGGAAAAACTCAGCACCTCAAGGGAGTAAAGAGTGGGGCTGAGATCTGGAGGTGGGGGGAAGGGGGCTAGATAAAGTATAAGGAAAAGTTAAGTTCCCAGGTCCCCACCTCATCCCCAGCAGGAAATAGGAGATAGATTCTTTGGAGAATGGTGGGGAGGAAATTATCAAAGAAATAGTTAAAGAAGGTCATGACTTTTAGATTGGAAGAGTCCATGATTATTACATAATGAATGAAAAGACCTATGAAATTCCAGATCCTAAAGGAGAACGTAAAATATCAGAGATTACTGCCGAAGAGGAGGTTGAAAATGAGGTATTAAATGAAAGTACACAAGTGGTGGAATTCAGCATTGGCAACACTGATTTATACCCCACCCCTGCCAGGTAAAAACAAACAGCTGCAGAAGAAAGGTCTACAAATAATGACATCGTCGGTTTCCTTAACAAAAAAGTCTGCTTTCCTCCATTTGATCACCCTACAGTTAATAAGCATTGTACACAGACAGTGCTCCCAATCAGCTTTTAGTGCCTCTTAAATGTGAAGAGACAGTCAAGGACCATCAAACACTTGAAGGAAAGAAGCTTCTAACATGAAAGGCAAGAGACCAAGCAAACAAAAATCAAGGAAATAATGACAAAGTAGGAAATTTTTTGGAAACCAGAGGACCCTGTAATATTAAAACTCAAAGAGGGAAGATACTGTATATATGAAAAATATGTTATTAAAAGGACAAATTGGAGAACAAGAAAGTTCTTAGAAAAAGTAAGTAAATGAATTATTCCCTTCCCATTCAACTGAGAACTGGAGGACTGGAGAACCAAGTAGGAAGATGTTTCTCTGTATCTATCCTTATGTACCTCTTGAATTTTGAAGTGTGAATACATATATATAGAGAGAAAATGTACATTTTTGTAGTATGTGTGTGTGTATATATGTTGTATATCTCATAGCAACCCCTCCTTGGGTTTCTGAGGCAGTATCACTACAGAAGTAGATTGCCCAACCTTCCTTCCGAAGAGTGGCTGGTAGGTTTGAACCACCAGCTTCTGGTTAGCAGTCAAGTGCCTTAGGCACTGTGCTACCAGAGCTCCTTTGTGTGTGTGTGTGTGTGTGTGTGTGAGTGTATATATGTGTGATATATTGTTGTTGTTGTTGTTATGTGCCGTCGAGTTGGACCCAACTCATAGCGACCCCTCCTTGAGTTTCCAAGGCAGTATCACTACGGAAGTAGATTGCCCCATCTTCCTTCCAAAGAGTGGCTGGTGGGTTTGAACCGCCAGCCTTCTGGTTAGCAGTCAAGTGCTTAGGCACTATGCTACCAGGGCTCCTGTGTGATATATA